AGAGAGAAGGAAGGGAGGAAAGAAAAGACAAGTAGGAAGTGTCTGTGTAGCCAATAGTTCTCCAGTCCTGTTTAAAGTGAGATACTAGTTAAAGAGGCACTTGAACTACAATTGAAAATACAGTCTCCCGCTCGCTTCTCTTCCCTTCCCTTCTCTTCCACCAGGGAGAAGGGAAGGAGTAGTTCTTTAGCTGCACCATATGTAAAGTTGCCCATCCTTCCATAGATCAGGGACTAATCTATTAAGGAGCATTTTTGACACATGTCCTGAAGATTTCCAGAAGGTGCTGGGAATGGGGGGTTGGTACTGCTTGGTAAAGCAAGAGAACATAATTTGCTTTACTGGAAAGTAAGTGTCTGATCTGCAGAATTGGAGGGTGATACCTTTACCCTCTGCATGCATAAGCCCTTTCCTTAAACTACCCCACATTAAATCTGTGAGGACAGCACAATTCACCAGCCTCATTGCTGAGGCAGTACAGAGCTTCAGAACAGGGCACTATTCTGCTTCAGCAATGAGAACAGGACAAAGTGCTGGAATATTTTTGTGCTGCCCCATGAACTGGAGGGAAGTGCATTCACATAGCTATGAGGAAGAGCTGTTGGAGTCAAAATAAGTGTTGGCTGTCTGGCAAATTGCTCTTTGGCAAATTGCTGTACAGTAATGATGGTTGAGAAAGAACATTCTGCTAAAGTTTGCTGAAGACACTTCAAGTCATAGCTCTCAACTAATACCAATAAATGTTCCAGACACATGTTACTTTGCTTAAAAAACGATTTTAAATTAAATGATGACATATTTTGAAAAATTGCTGGAAATACTTTTACCTAAAATCAATCTTCTTTAACACATTTCTTCAATTTCTGCTTTCAATTCTTTATAGATTAGCATGTTCACTACTTTAAGCTCCCATGCTGCATGCCACACTACATATACAGGGAGTCCTTGACTTATGACCACAACTGGGACCGGAATTTCCATCGCTAAGTGATGCAGTTGTAAAGTGAAATGTCATGTGACTGCATTCCTTAGCAATGGCAATCCCGGCATTCCCCATTCCAGTCATTAAGCAAATTCTGCCAGTTGTTAGCCGAGGACCTACCCCAATCCAAGCCATTCTAGGCTTGGTCCCTCCCAGCCCCAAGCCTCAGTAAGGTAAGGGACTGCTTCCAACTCTCCCCCATTTCTGCCCTATTGGCCATCCTGCACCCTGCCTTTTGGGGTGACAAGGAGCCCCAGAACTGCACAGTTTTGGGGCTGCTTGCCACGCCCCGGAAAGCTGCAGCCAGCCCAGCCCAGTTCCAACTGCAGTCACCTTTGCTACCCTGAACTCTGATACCCCTGCCGCCCTGTACTCCACTGCCCCAGCTGACCTTCACCGTCTTCTTGCTCCTGCTGCTGATGAAGGGTGCCTGGGCTGGGCTGGGGCTGGGTTTTGCACTGCACTATGGCTCTGGGGCTATTTTTTTTTTACAGCCCCAGAGCTGCAGTGCACCAAAAAGCTCCTTTGCACTTTTCTTTTTGTGAAGCCCACCCCCGGCCCAGCCCAGCCCAGGAACCAGGTGCAAAGGAACTTTTTGGTGCACCATGACTCTGGGGCTGCAAAAAGAAGCCCCTTTGTGCTTTCTTTTTTGTGAAGCCCAACCCTAGCCTGGCCCAAGAGTGCAGCACAAAGCCGCAGCTGCCCCAGCCTAGTCCCAGCCACAGTCACCCTTACCACCCTGCACTCCAACGCCCCCCGTCCTGCACTTTGCCACCCCAGCTGACCTTTGCCATCTTCTTGCTCCCATTGCTGATGAGGTGTGCATGGCCTGGCCCTTTGCAAGGCAACTGCTGGCCACGTGAGGCTTTCTTCCCCAGGTTGTGCATGGTGGTTTCCTCATGAGACCCAGGGGAGATGGTCTTACATGGCCAGCACCTGCCTTGCAAAGAGCCAGGCCAGGCACGCCTCAGCAGCATTAGGAGCAAAAAGACTGCGAAGGTCAGCTGGGGCGGCAGAGTGCAAGGCAGCAGGGGGCCAAAAGGGCATAGATGGGGGGGGGATTGCCGGGTGCGGGGAGTTGAAGCGCCCCTGTGGTCTAAGTGCAGGCAGGCTGCCAAGTGTCCATATTTTGATCATGAGACCACGGGGACACTGCAACAGCTGTAACTTTGGGGACCAGTCACAAGTCCATTCAGCACTGCCGTAACTTTGAACAGACACTGAACGAATGATAGTAAGTTGAGGACTACCTGTAATTCTGTAAGGAGAAATAAAAAAAGAGGATGTGAAAACTGCTTGGACAGAGCAAAAAGAAATTTGTTGCAGAATGCCAGAAATGTGTGAAGAGTTACAATTTCCATTTTCCGAAACACATTCCATAGCTTGACATTTTATAGTCAATGAAATACATATTGCTTTCTTTTTGGAATTGTTTGGTTTCTCAATTTTCCAGAGTGCATCAGCAATAATATCTCTAATATTCAGAGAATCCAAATGATTTATAGCAAATATAAGATAGTTTCATGCAATTATGAGTATGAATCTGAGTATTAATGTATAGAAAACCAAGGAAGTTCTGTTTGATAGGGGAAACAGAATCAATGTTGCAAGTTATACAGAAATTCCCAAGACTGCAGAAATACATTAATTTATGTCTACAAAAGATGGGGAAATGATTGGAGAAATCTGAAGATGTGCAAATGTGTAGTATCTAGTCTGTTGCAAGGAATGGATATTTATCAAAAGAAATTGCTGTGAATAAGAGTATACTTCTGCTCATCTTGTTTTTGTGATAGTTCTCACAGAGTCTGAGGGAAACAACATGATAACAGATCAGACTATTGCATAAGAAAAGAGCAGATGGATACTAAGCCTCCTGCCTTAAGGGGGCCAGGCAGCCTGTTACTTAGGGAGAGAATGAGAAAGAAGCACAAAAGGATTTGAATGTGGATTCTGTAGATAAGGTTTGCTTTCAGCAGTTGCTGGAATTCTTTTGTTATAGCTTCCTAACTTTTCTTCAATAAAAATGGTATCAGAAGTTATTAGATTCTTGTGAGCTTGCATAATTGATTCCAGTTCTGCCTGCTAGTTGATACTTGACCATTACATGAAGGGAGAGTTAGATATACCAGAAGAAACATAAAGCCCAGTCTTCTCACATTTCTAGAGACTTCTCATGTATTTATATGGATTTATTGCAATTATCTTTATGGCTGATCTTTTTTATTTCTTAAAAAGGTGTAATTAAACACTTTTTTCTAAACTTTTACATATTTTCTTGACAACTTAAACATGGTGGCAGAGATTCCTAGAAACAATTTTGTTTTGATGCGTATTGCCAGCTGAAATACATACCAATTGCTATGGAGAGATTAGCAAAAACAAAAACAAAAAAACCCCCACCACATTATTTTATCCTTGTTATGATACAAGTATAATACTAATATCTAATTCATCCCTCTCCATTGTGAGTCCCAGGTTTTGTGTAATTGATTATGTGCGATCCAGTTGGCATTAACTCTTAGCATCCACACAGATAGATTTTCTCCAAGAAGATCCGTCCGTAATTTAGTCTTTCAGATCTTCCAATGGTGCACTTGTCATCATTATAACTGAGCCCATACACCTTACTTTATGTAATAGAATGCATCTTCTTTGTTTTTTCAGCATAGGAATTTCAAAGCAATGTATCTTTTAATCACTTTTCTTCTCACATCCTTAGATTTCTGGCCCACTTCATGGAAGAAAGTGAAATCATGCAGAAAATCAGCGTTGTGAGAATAATGTAAAATCTTAAGTATTTATACAAGTTGTTTTATTTTACTTCTTGACAAAGCCATGCTTGGCTGAACTACAGAAGAGAAAGACAAAGAATTGAGGCAGAAACTATCCTTGCTTGACACTAGCAGATTAACAGTGCTATACAACCATCTTTGATTTGTCAAAGAATTATTTCATATCTGTTTGCTATAAACTAAAGATGGTTCTGGAGTGGCTAAGCTTATCTTCCTGAAGCAGGTAGTGATTTATTGTTTAGTTTTATGTGACAATACATTTAATTGTGACAATACATATATGTTCTTTTATTGTTGTAAGCCATCCAGAGTCAGCTGGAATCAGGCAGCATCCAAACGTAAAAAATAAATCTGCATTAAGCAGAACATGGTTACATTTTTATAGCAGAAAACTCAAAACATATATTGGAAAACATATAAAATCTAGATTAACAAAATTTTCAAGGTGGTATTTTTGCTCCAAGTTGAAATGAAAGAAGGGCTAGGCGAGCAGCATATGCCTACTGCAGCGAAACGAGGGCCGACGGACGGCGTTACTTCGGTGGATTGAGGAGGAGCGGCCGCGAACAGACGTGCGGAGGGAGATGGCTGGCTTCCTTCTTGCACTGGTCTCTCCGCAGCGAAAGAAGCAGGAGGTGCAAAGGGAGGAGCCACAGTCTGAAAACGGGACGCCACTCGGGCGACACGGTCAAGGCTTCCCTTCAGCCTATCCCCCAGCTGGGAACGGGGACAAGCTCTCTTCCATGCTTTCCTACAACGCTGCGGTGGTGATTGACTGCTCCCGCAGGGTGCCCGCAACCCCAGAGCCCGGGGCCGGAAATTCATTGCCAGCGAAATTTCGGCGCGCCCGAGTGCTTCGAGTAAACGCAAAACGGCAACGAGGCGCTTTAAGCACGAGCAGTGTCAAACGGGCCCCTCCCATATTCTCTCCCTTCCCTTGCAAGGCGAGTCTCTGCATTTGGTGGTGGCCGGAGAAACCCGGATTCCGCAACGTTCTATCCTTCCCCCAGCCGCGAACTCTTCCCGACGAAGCGAACCGAGGGAGCACGAAACGACGAGGGAAACGTGGGGCGGTGGGGGGAAGGGAAGAGAGTGAAAGAAAGGAAGACGAGATCCACCACGAGCACGTGACAAGGTGCAGGCGAGGAGGAGGAGGCGGCGCGCGGGCTAGCACCGCGCCTGCGCCCCTTGAGGCGCGCCGACGACGTCAGATGGGTGCGTGCGCACGTTCTCTCCATCGGGTAACACGATTTGACTGTGAACATAGCAGGAAGGGGGAGGGGGTTATATCGTCCCACTCGCGATCGCACGGTAACAGCGGAGGGGGGGGAGCGGCGCGGGTCTATGTGTGTATGTGTGTGTGGGGGGAGAGCTTTACTCTGCTTTCGACTGACGAGCGAACCGCGCGCAACTTTCCGCGTGTCTCGCATACCTCCTGCTGTCTAAGCTGCTAGCTGAGAAAATTAACACCCGTTCGCGTCGGCCATGAGCGTCGGCTCGAAGCCCCTGAGGGGGAGGGGCGGGAACGGGCGGGAGCGCGCGGCGCCTCGCGTGTCAGGGAGGTTCCTCGCGCTGTACGCGGAGCACGCTTTTCGAGGCGCCGTCGTGTGTGGAGCGAGAAGCGGCGCCTGTGCTTCCCCTGCCAACCCGCGCTGCGCAGGAGGATCGCCCCCCGTGGCCTTCGGGGAGGGTACGTGCCTGTCGTACGCAGGGCGGCCGCTGGGTCTCGAACGCGCGCTACTGCCCTTTGGGCCTTCGGCTTTTCCTCCGCTGGTTTCTCTCTCCTTTCCCCGCCAAGCGCCCCCTTTGTTGATTCAGCCGCGTGTGGCGGTTTGGCTGTGCGTGGGGACCGCGCACGTTACCTTTGGTTAATCGGGCCAGAGCTCTGCGCTGTTTAGGATAGGGCCACAGGACACCCTGAACCACAATATGTAGGCTTCCACTCTAAACCACAATTCACACTCAACTGCAAATCCAACTAGTTTGTTCAGTTTATCATTCAGTTTATCATTCAGTGTATCATGCCAACTTAGGAAATCGGGTTTGTTCCATAAGCCATGATTAAGTGATCCATAGGTAAATGTGTTGTGCGAGTGCAACCTTAAAGCGGGGAGGAAATAATACCTGAAGAGGTAGTCTTCAGCTGCCTTTGGGAGCGTGTGACTTTTCTAGGATGACGTAGTTGAAAAGTCAGCAAACATGAACCAAGGTCTTCTAGGGTGCTGGATCTGGACTGCAAAAATCCGGATGACTGCTGAATGTACATAAAAGTGTAGAAAAAGTAAAATCTACATTAAAATATTTTATGAGTCCTATTACTGCTATGATCTTGTATATTAGTGTTTGAGATTCCTGCAACTCCTTTTACTGCTCTGAATGATTTATGATAGAAATAATTAGCATGTCATTTGGCTCTTTGGTAGTTTTTTCCTTGCTCTAATAAAATGTAATAAAATTCCACAAACTTTGCTCTAGACTGCTGAAATTCAACTTTAATAGATTTGCTGTGAAGTAAATGTTTATGTTCATCCATGCAAAGACTGAAGCAAAATAAGGCCTGAGTGACATGCAGAGATGCTGGCATAATTGTGGCAAATTAAACTATAAAAATCATGATTTAGTACAGTGTGCAAATCCAGTCAGTGACTGATACAAGGTCATTCAGTTTTATGTTTGTGGATTTTAATGCATGATTTCCTGGTTTCCCTATTCCTTATGTCTATACAAACACTTTAGGGAAAAAAGTCAAATGGTTTTCTTTTAAGGAATAGGTGTCAACCTTTGAGTTATCAATTTGTTATATTCAAACTAGTAGGGGTGGTCTTTCTTTTTCAAAATTAAGAATAAAATATTCTAGGACAGTAGACTTAAAATTATCATACTCATCAATCCAGTTGGCTTATGTGTATTTTGGTGTAACAGCATTCTGTTGAATTAAAATAGATGATAGGTCACTACTCCTCCGTTTTACCAGTGGAAAAGTCCAGTTTTGAGTAGAACCTGATAGTGTTGTGTGGCATGTTCAGTTTTTTTAATGAGCCCACTAAAAAGCATATATATTGAAATCAGATTATTTTTGTGATTTGGTATATTTTTCAACTCAAATCTGTGTATATAAATAGAGTTGCATAATATACTTTTGGAAATTATTGGTCTTTTTTAATGTATTTTTTTTAATATGTCTGGCTATTGCTCTTTCTGCTTGTATGTATGCCATTTTAATTGTGCATAAATATTTCAGTCTAGAAATAAATGTATTGGCCTTTATCCAATTAAAGAACTGTAGAAAGGAACAGATGGAAGGTAATTTTTGTCCCTCTCTTACAAATCTCTGGCAGTGCATTGGGGAAGCTGGCTGAATAGACTGGGCTCCTTTCAAAGTTTCCTCCTTCCCTCCATCCCATGCCTGGCATCATTCCATTTAACTTGGTCTTCTTTGGGAAGTTTCTTTCCATATAACATTTTTTCTGGATTCAGCTTCATTTTCTTTACTCTTATTACAAAGTTCACTGAGCATATTAAACCATAAATTATGGTTTGCAAACATAATAGCTGTATTCATATAACAAACTACTAATATATTTCTAATATTTTATATTAATTTACTTGCAGCTTTTGTAGTTTCATTGTAAAATTTAAAAATTGTAATATGTTGTTACAAAGTATTATTTTCTCTAAATTGGTATATATACCATATCTACACTGCTCACAATTTTGCATTCATTCATGATATTAATAAGATATGGTAGATTTGCTTTTCAGACTAAGAATTATACTCTTAGCAATTTTTTTCAGAGCTGGCTACTGTCGCTTGCTCAACAAACTTGTTTAAAATATGAAGTATCTTAAGGAGTTTACCCAGCAAATGTCTCTATTTGGATGTAACCTACACTTAGCATTTAACACAGTGAGAACAAACCTCCCTGGGCTTTTATGTTTTCCTATGTTCTCCTCTTGCGTACAGTAATTACAAGGAGAAATTTAGAATTTGTTGTATCATCTGAACCCAGATAAATTGGTTAGTCTTGACTTGCTGAAAAAAAGCCAGTGTCCAAACTAATGTTTATGTTGCTGGCTGGCTTTCACTACACATAATTAATCTATAGGACTGAGTTTAACTGTATTTTATGCTCAATCTAAATGGAAACTGAATTTCTTGATAAAAAAAAAAGATTGTGGGAGGGTGTGAGCCCAGTAAGAGGCTATGCTTTTTCTTGTAATGTTGAATTATTGCTTAATATTTGAACCAAGCCATTGGAATTGTAAATATTAGATTCAGTGAAAAGTTTGGAACCAACAATGTTCTGCAATTTGAGAGGACAAAGGATGTTTATATTTGCAGCCATACCATAAACATTTATTTTGAGATTGTGATATGATCTCCTGTATTATTCCGCTTTCCCCTTCTGGGTTTCTCTGAAGTTATAGCAAATTACAACTATGATGAGTCAGGGAAAAGGTGTGGAAGAATTTACTTTTTTTATCAGATTAGTTAAGATACTTGAACATGATAGTTATCTGCATTTCACTGTTATGATGAGCAAGCAGTGCAAATATTGCCAAAACACACTAAAATACTATCATGCTAAAATGTCCTCTACATTTTTTAACAATTACTGTATAGTCACTAACTGAAAGGCTTTATTCAAAGTTGATTGATCTTTTGTAAAAGTTTCACCTATTTTAATCTTAGAATTCATACTTGGAAATAATTTTTCAAGATGTGACATTGTAATGAAAATTTTTATAAGTAGAAAAAGGGGGTGGGTAAATGAAAACAATTGTAATACTGAATTACATATGATATTTTTCAAAGTAAAACTATCATACATTTTTCATTTAAAAAACAAAACATAGAATACAGTTACATGTTTAAATATAAATTATACCATATACAACATTAAATAAACATGCTTCCTGTTATATGCCTCCTTTCACCTCTCTCCCCAATTCTGTTCTGAAGCAGCCAGAGTAAATTTAATTATTTACTTAATTTACTCAATTTTTATTCCTGCTTTTCATTCAAATTATTTAATCAAGGAGTCATCATTAAAGAAACTAAAAAAAAAACACACCAAAATGCATATAGTAAGAATATTAGCATTTAAAGACCTGTCTAGGAAAAATATCTTAATTTATGTTCTGAATTGGTTGGAGTACAAGGAATAACAATGATAATGTACTAATTGGAATTGGCAGAGAGTTGCAACACCATTGGATCCAACTCTGCATTTCTTAAAAGTAAATGTATGATACTGTGAATTAGTTCACCCCTAATGCAAAGCCAGGATTTTTGTTCATATTTTTTAAAATAAGTCACAATGATTTAGTTTATAAAAACTAATTGATTTTGATTTCTGTGTATTAAACAGATAATCAGTTGTTTGACATACTTATCTTCTGTTTTCTATTTTGACAGCTTCATAAATTGACTAATGTCTCAACATACAATAGCTTCTGGAAACAGAAGATGACTGTAACAAAGGTTTGTTAATACAAATATCCTAAACCGTAGAAAATATAAAGCAATGGTTTAGCTTGCATTTGCAAAATTTCAGATCAGGTATTGGGCAGATTTTTATGTGGTGCTATCTATTAAAGTTGGACCTGTTGAATATAGGAAGTCTTATGATTTCTCCAGCACTTTTGTTTTTTAACTGAATCCATGCATGGGATGAGAACCAATACCAGAACAGCAAAGAGGCTGTTCTGGGAGTGGTTCTGCCTTACAGGTAGTCCTCGCTTAACAACCATTTGTTCAGTGACCGTTTGAAGTTATGGTATTGAACGAATGGTACTTGTGCCCAGTTCTCAAAGTTATAACCGCTGCAGTGCCCATGCAGTTGCATGATCAAAATTTGGGCAGTTGGCAGCCCACCTGCATTTATGACTGCAGGGTGCACTTCAACTTCACCCCACCCGCCTACCTCCCCCCCATCTCTGCCCTTTTGGCCACTCTGTGCTCCGCCTCCTCTGCTGCCCCAGCTGACTTCCTGTCAGGAGGAAGACTTTGCTGTCTTCCTCCTGCTGCTGGTGAGGTGCTTCGGCCTGGCCGCTTGCGAGGCAGCTGTTGGCTGTGCCTTGTCAGCAACAGGAGGAAGAAGGCGACAAAGGTTAGCTGGGGGAGGCAGGGGCGGTGGAGTGCAGGGCAGTGGGGGGTATAGAGCACAGTGCAGGGTGGTGGAGTGCAGGGCAGTGGGGGTGTCATGGGTGGGGGAGCCTAATGACCACATGGCTTAGTGACAGTAATTCTGATCCCAATTAGGGTCATTAAACAATTAGGGTCATTAAGCAAGGACTGCCTGTATATCCACGCTTACTATTCAGGCTTGGACAGCATTTGTAACTATGGCTAAAGTAAGTGAACTTAAGTTTCAGCTGTGGTTAAAGGATAGGGGACCAATAGGGCTTGATTATCTGTGATCTGTGTTGAAAATTAAATGTGTGAGCATAGTTCATTTAGACCTTTTTATAGTTTTCAGAAACATTGACTATGGTATCTTTTTAGACTGTCTGGCAGGAATTGAGTCTTGTCAGCAACTTCTTTCAGTAATTCCAATTGTTCCTGTTCGTTCATGTCCAGAAGATGGTGTTGGGAGGCTGGTGTTTGGCATTATGGTCATTAGCCTATAATGTCCCTGAAGGTCTTTCTTAACCATTCTGTTATATAATATGCACATGAATCTGTTGGAAGAAGTCATCTAGTGTAGTGCAGTCAGTGTATATTCATCTAATTGAGCTCTGTTGCTCTTTGTTACCTAACTCAAGGGAAGTGGGGGACATGACTGAATATTGCTTGGATTCAGTAAATGTGATGGAATGCTTCGATGAAGGCCACGCTTGGGGAGATAAGCATTGCCTTAGCCCCCAGCAGGAGCGTGGGAAGGCTAAGAAGATGAGATTGGCACCACCCTAAGGAATTCGCGGGGTTTTGCTTGTTGACTTGGGGAGTTTAGATTCAGTCTGGCAGGATTCTGTCTGTGGTTGGAAGCTAATAAAAGCTATCAAACTAGACTTGTACTGTCTTGTGGAGTTCTTTGGGCTGAACCTGACATCAATCCTGCCAGACTGTGATGGAATGGACATGAAGGCCAGGCTCAGGGAGATAAGCGTGTTCTTAGCCCCCAGCAGGAGTGTGGGAAGTTTAAGATGATGAGACTGGCACCACCCTAAGGAATTCGCAGGGTTTTGCTTGCTAACTTGGAGAGTTTAGATTCAGTCTGTGTCAGGTTCAGCCCAAAGAACTCCACAAGACAGTACAAGTCTAGTTTGATAGCTTTTATTAGCTTCCAACCACAGACAGAATCCT